GGGAGTGGAAGGAGTGGCGGCAGGGTAGCCGGCACCGTACTCACCACCAGCAGGGGCGGAAGAGGCAGCGGCGGGGGTGCTGGGAGTGGGCTTGGAGTTCTCAGAGACGAAAGAGAAGCTGGGGAGAGAAGAGGTGGCCATGCTGGGGACGGGAGCGGGGCCAGTGCCGACGGGGACGTAGGGCATGGTGCTGTTTCCGTAGGGAGCAGTGGGGTAAGGGGGCATGCCAGAGGTCTGGTCAGCGGGGACAAGAGGAGTGCTGGCAGGGTAGGTGGGCTGCTCAGAGTCGGGGGTAGCGGCGGGGTAGTCACCACCGGCGGTGACAGTGATGGTCTCCTGGGCAGTTACGGTAACGGTAACGGGAGCGCACTCGTCACCCTCACCGGCAGGGGTGGAGGGGGAGGGGCTAGCACCAGCACCACCGGCAGGGCCAGTGGGGTAGGAGTCAGAGCCGACTGGGACATCGCCAGAGGGAGTGGGCTTAACGGTGATGTACTTGGTCGAGGTGGAAGTGGAGCTGATGGTGCTGGTGATGTCGCCACCGGCAGGGCCAGTGGGGTAGCCGTTACCGCCAGCTGGGCCAGTAGGGTAACCCTCGCCACCGGCTGGGCCAGAGGGCTTGGTCTGGTCAGAGGGAACGTCAGGGGTGGACTGGGAGCCGGGGACAGTGACAACAACGGTGCTGTACTGGGTGGAGGTCGAGGTGGTGGTGATCTCGGTGGTGACGGGGCGGGCAGTGGTGCCGACACCGATGGTGTAGACGAGGGTCTCGGTGTAGACGGAAGTCACCTCAGAGACGGGGTAGGTGCTGGTGACAGCAGTGGGAGTGGGCTGGGGAACCTCGCTCTGGGGGCAGACGGTGGTGCCGACGGGGACAACGCTGGTGACGAGCGAAGTGGACTTGGCAGGGCAGTCAGTGACGGTGGAAGGGCAGGCAGTCTTGGTGAAGATCTGGGTGCTGTAGATGGTGCTGGTGACCATGTCGCTGACGGGGGTGGAAGAGGCTGGGTAAGAGCCGGTTCCGGTGGGGTAGAGTGGGTAGCCAGTGCTGGTGGCGGCCTCTGGGACAACAGGGACGGAGGGCTTGCCAGTTCCGTAGTTGCCACCAGCGGGGTAGGAGGC